CCATTTTTGTGAAAAACATTTTTGGTTTTTCTAAAAGAATAACACATTGTTCAACTACATATTTAGCTCACCTACATCACATCTTAAAGTGCTAAAATGTTATTTTTCTAGCAAAACTTCCAAAAAGAATTAATGTAAACAACTAATTTTTAAGTTAAAAAGTGATTTAAATAGCATTTCAATAAACGATTTTCGTAAAAAAAAAATTTACTAGGCAAAACAAATGTTGATGTTCCAATAACTCTAATGTAATATCTTGAAGTTGAATGAACTTTTTTTATCAAACTTAATTATTATCAAATATAAAATATTATTTAAATTTGATTTAATTAATTGGTAAATCAAACTCACACGAACTTTTATGAAATCGAGCTCGATTCAAATATTGTGTAATTTAACTTATTTTTTAACCCTAACCGTGATGATATGCGCGCTGTCGCGTATACAAGGAGTGCTGAAGTTTATTTCTCGTTCTGTCGTACCATCTTGGTAACGTGCGCGGGTCTCATAATTCGAGGTCATAACCCAATGATTCAATCACAGGTGTGCCTATTGAAAGTCGACACTTTACCAACGTCGGAATTCGAGTCAGCGAAATGTCCCAATCTCGTGTGGGGGGAAAAAAACATTTCTTACTTCGTTGATTTTTTTATCTGGCCCCACATGGGGTGGGACCACTTCAGGAACTGTGGACCCACCACGTACCTTTAAATCTTTAATCCTGCCCAAAAGTTGCTCAAAATCATGTGGCCTCTCCTCTTGGTGTTTGGTGCTGAGTGGCTCAGGGAAAAAGGAAAGATTGACGAAATAAATTCTTGGACTTTGATAAATTTTTTTTTTTAAAATTAGCTGAAAAAGTTGAAATATATTACAGGGTAAAGCGCATTCATTCCATGATTGTCGCAAATCAAATCAATGTTGGAATAATGCAACTTCTGCTGCAATTTTCTAGTTTCAAAATAAGTCGATGGCTCTGTTTGGATTGTTTTTTCTTGGAGTTTTTATTAAAAATATTGTAACAATTTGATATGTGTAAGTTGAAGAGATGATTGAAAAATATATTAATAAAAAAAGTAAATTTTTTTTTGGGAAAAATCACAATCGAAACAAAAATAAGTTAAGTTGTTATTAATTCGTCGGAACATATTCAGTTTTTAACTAGTTCAACTATTTTGAATTATAAGTATCTCCTTTTGTTGAGATTTATTAAGAGATCTGTCAGCAAAAATATGTTAATTTGTTTCTTGTACGCTCTACAGACAAAGAGTTCGTAAATGAAGAATTGAAAGTCATTTTCAGTTCTTTAATATAAGACACCACTATAAGTCATTTTTTTTATGACACTAACTACAAATGTTATTTCTTAATTTATATTCTAAATTTCAACCATCAATTATGTGATTGCTTTTTGGGTTCTTCTTGGCATCTTGCCTTGCCACACAATATAGGAAAGTGCAGAACTTCTCGAGAGAGGGGTTGAATCAATCATTAGTACCTAAAACATTGTGCCAAAACAAGATTCATGACTAAAATTAATTGAGTAAATCTTATATACACTGACTTAGTATACACTATTACCATTTGATTCATGACATATGTGCAATAGTTAAATTTCAAATTTCAAATTTGCATAGTTCTCATTCATTCAATGCCGACAGAATATATACTAGTAGTGCAGAAAAGATTAATCCAAATTAATATATGGTCATTATACCTAACTTAGTTTCCTCATCAGCAATCTGGGCTTTCACCACTATTCGGAACACGGGGTTTGTTTCGATAGTGCTTTTATCCCAAATAATATTTCGCTTGCATCATAAACACATTTTCCAACCCACCTTTTTATATTTTCAATCACCTTTTATCTCACATACATCACATCACAAAAAGTGCTACAGTAATTATTTCAAATAACACACTATCCAAACAAATCGTGGCTTTCTACCAACCGAGACACTTGTCAAATCTTAGTCAATCGCTTCGTAACATGTAACTATTGTGTTTGGATTGAAGATTTTTTCACTTTATTTACACATTATTTACACACACTGATTTGCTTGCATCATTAACACATTTTTCAATCACCTTTTTATCTCACATACATCATATCAAAAAAAGTGTTATAGTAAAAATATCTCAAATAATTTACAATCTAAACTATTACAATTAATGACTATCATACACCTATTAATGACTACTACAATTTTATGGCTTTTGTCTATTTTGTCACAGGGTAAGAAGCAGAGTAAAAAGAAAAGGTGGCATATTATGACATTATCATCACCCCTTATTTTACGGACAAAAAAAAAAAATAATCAATCTAACCTTTCATTTTATACTCAAAGCATAGAACACAAGGACTCTTGTGTTTTATATGGTGGTTAGAAGGTATATATGGTTAGGGTCAATCCCACTATGGACTAACCTACTTGAATTTGAGTCTCCAAACAAGATTGTACATAGAGAGTAGTAATGAAAGTTTCTAGAAGACCATTTATGAGATTGAAGTTGTGATCCAAAAATTTTGCACTACAAGTCTTGAGTTTCTTTTCCCCCTAAAAAAAATTTAAATAAATTTGACTCCAATTGTTCCTGCGAGAAAGAGTATACCTAAGGATTCATAAATCACTAAGAAATTATCAAATTATATACAATTTATCCTCGAGAAGAAGTGACACATCCTTGTCAATTCAGGCAAAATGTGTCGGCTGTGAGCCTTCAATTATGATAGATACGCTCCCTTGCACAATATCAAACAAATAATATGTTTTTACCAAAAAAAAAAAGATTCACATGCAAAAAGTCAAACTGATTCCATGAATGAAGGACGTTCATTCCCTGTTGGAAACGATAAAATATGCCCAGCCTCAGAGTTGGCTACACGTAGAAGTAGGTGGGCTTCGCAATTTATCTTCTGGACCATGTTCTTGACGCTTCAATAAGCTAGGCGGCAACAATCAATTTCGCCACGTTGATTAACCTCTCATATCATTGATTTTTGGTATTACAACTATATCAAGAATTTGATTGCTAGATATGTGTAGTTAAACTTTTCAATTACTTGAATTTCGTGCTTTAACAAAAATGTTGCATATTTCATATTGTAGTCGGTACAAATTTGCATCCTTTCTTTGTATTGGGTGATTTAGTTCATTCAGATCATCTCAATAATTATTCAGCTAACTAGACGGAAGTTTATCAAATCAAAAGGGCTCAAATTTGTTCAGCAGTCTATTGGCCAAAACTTGGGTATAACCAAATTTCAAAAATTCAATGTCCATATTGTATCACACCATTTGGTGAGATGATGTAGTACAATTTGGATCATTGAATCTTTGAAAATCAGATCTATTCAAGTGTGAGTCCGGTCTATTTAGTCGAGCCATTCATTCTTTAGCTTATCTTTCGATTGGCGGAAATGTCGCCAACAAAAAATATGCAAATAAACATTTCTAACAGCCGAATACAGTAGCAATTTGCTTGATAAATAACTTCAAGAAATTTAAAAAAAATAAATAAAAAACAAAGGAATTAGAGGGCACATCTTGAGTTTCTTGATGTCCATTTCTTTCTATCAAGAAATGAGTTGTTTTCTTGTTTGAATTTGCAAACCATGTGGTATTATTTCAAGATAATTCTCACAAGGGCGAGATATTTAAGTGTGCAAGGGTGGCCTACCACTTGCACTAGCCTACTACATCCTAGTGCTAATTCTCAATTTATTTAATAACTTAATCAATTGTTTAAATCATCGTCAACTTTACATATAGTTTCAAGTCCTTTTCTAGATGTCTATTTAATAGATAAGGCAATTGATTGCCCATTGGTGACTATTTACACGAAGAAAAGTCATATTCTTTGGATTTAAGAATGAGTACTTCTTTACGACTAATGCACAATTCCAGCCACCACCTACTTATTGGAGATAAGTTTTTCCCCTTCATCCTAAGAGGGAATTGTTCTTTCTTCATGATACAAAGACAATGACCAATCTTCCTAATTGAGCGTTTTGGATCCCTTTCACTATCTCAATTAGACTGAATTAGTCCGTCAGGATTAAGAATATTATGCATGACTTTGACCAAGTCTGCGGCTGCGCCGCCTGCCCTTCCATTGCACGAGGCGGAAGTCACGGTTTTATACTCAATAAACTTCAACCCTTTTGATGGACATTGTGGAATAAGTGGATAAATAGCAATTATCATTGGTGATTGTATGTATTTTTTGATAAATTGGACATAACTAGCATCTGAATACGTGCTACACTGGAAAAATATATAAATGCGACAGGCGGCAGTAACAGTTAGTATGCACATTCACATGATAGATTGACTACAATTTAAGTATACTACCGATTTTGTTTCATTAATCAACATATAAAGTTATTAGTAAGTATCAAGAAAATAATAGTTAATATGCACATTCACATGATACGTTGAGTATAATCTAAGTATATTAACGATTTTGTTTCATTAATCAACATATAAAATTGTTGTTAAGTATCAATATATCATAGTATATAATTGGTATTCTTTTCCCTTAGTAATGCAAATGCCTTAAAACATTTTTTATTAAGTCACCTTCTCAATGGACCATAGATGATAGTGACTAGTGACTTTAGGACTGAATTCTGATAGCACCTTCATAATATTGATAGAAAAAAAACAAACATACGCAGCATCAATTTGATTGATTAAGCAGATATTAATAAACAAGTCATTCGAGTCCAATCATATTAGCCTTGTTTGGCAATTAATATGTCGGTATAAGGCCTTAATAAATAAGTCATTCTGAGTCCAATCGCATTAGCCTTGTTTGGCAGCTAATATGTCGGTGGAAAACGCTTTTTTTTTTTTAAACCTAATTTCTACATAGTTATATTTTCTATTTCTAATTATAAAATCATATTTAGGTACAAAATTTACAAATGTATATGACTGGAGTTTCCATAATCAACTTTCTAAGAAATCACATCAAAAAATTGTGCAGTTTACAAGTTCTAAAAGAAGGCCAAGGAGGCCTTGGTGTGATAATCAAGATTGAAATATAAAAAATTAGAAACATTGAGTTCAAATTTAGCCTTCCTCTTGCTTTACATTTACACTGACGAGATAACATGCACTATAGATATAGATGTTAGTTAATATACAAAAGCTGTTGTGCTTGTGCAATGAGTTCTATCAGCTACTTCTGTTAAACTAAGTTCATTAGATGCCATCTGCTGGCTTAAAAATTCCATACAGGATAGCTTTAGATTTTGGAGTATGAGATTTTGGGCATCGGTTCTGGCAACCAATGAATTCGCAGAGTGCATCAGCTTGACAAACGTATCCTTCTCCAAGCTATGAACGTTGTCCGCGAAGAACTTTAACCACCACTTGGTGGAAAATGCCTGCGAGTTAATAGAAGGATGGCAAGCAAAGCAAGAGAGAGCCGCAGTGAAGTTACGTTGCTCCAGTTTTATGCGAAACATTTGGCTAATCAGCAGGAATGGCGGAATCTGATCTCCCTGAACCAAATGCATCCAGACCATCTCCAAGAGTTCTCCCTGTAAGAAAGAAGATGGCATGTGAATAAACTGGACTTTATCTCATAAGTTCTAATACTGGACAATTAGTGATGGAGTTTATTGTCTACTTCAAAAAAGAAAAGAGGAATATGTGAAGGGGGCATATATCCGAAGGACTAAACGCTACAAAATGTCGTTCATCTTTTACGAAAGTATGCCAAAATTGACATGAACTCAACAATCGACCTGGACTCACGTGACGCTTGCTAGGGAACACTTAAAAGCAATCAACACACACATCCATGTACATTAAAATTGGCAGTAAAATCCGAGTGGCAAGCAACGGAGAGAAAATCTGTTCAACAAATGTAAATCATTGATTAACTGAGACCAGCATGGGTGACAAGAAAAAATGGAAACAATACCTTTCCAGCACTGCTGGCATCCAATATTATTTGAAGATGACGTTTTGAATTGAAGTGGTAACCAGATTTTAACATCTCTACATATACCCACTCAAGATCGTCCCACTTCTCTTCTGCAGCACATCCCTCCAGCATCGTGTTAAATGTGTAAAGATCTGGTGTAACCTTTTCTTTGTAGTCTGATTTACTATTTATATTGTGGCTGTTTTCTAGTAATCTCAGAAACAACTGCTTTGCTTCTTCAAACATCCCTTGATTCAGGAAGGCCTTCAGCATTATATTATAGGTAACCAAGTTTGGAGAACAGAATTTCTGCATATGTTCAAAGATATATGCTCCATTTTTAGCATCACCAGAATCAACACATGCTTGAATCAATCCAGTAAACGTCACCACCAAAGGCTTATTTGCAACTCTGCATAATTTGTCGATCTGCGGAAAATGGAAAGAAAGAGAAAATTCATCAATTTACAGCTCAGTCTCTTCAGCTAATGAAAACATCTAGAAAAGAGACCTAAATTGAATATTCATCACTGCTACGGCAGACTAAAAAATTATATGCTCTAATAGAGTTACAATCTGGCAAGAAAACCTAGTTTGGCATTAAATGCAATGAACCTACTTGCATTAGTGCCTCTTGACACCTTTGGGCACTACAAAGGCAACGAGCCAGGTCATAGTACAAACTGGCGGTACCAATAATTCCTCGCCTTTCCATTTCTTCAATAGCTAATATTGCTTCGTCAATTTTACCTTCCCTCCACAAAGTGTTCAGAAGAACTGTAGATAGGATAGGATTTTGTCATAAATAGTTAATGTTTGGAAATTTCCAGAGTAAGAAAACATATGGATGCATTACCTTTGTAAGTTAAGGAATTTGGAATACATGTTTTTTGCATTTTCCTGAAAAAATCATGAACCAAGTTGTACTTTCCGCATGCAAGCATCACCTGTTGCAATACAATCACTTGAATTAAGCTGGCAGATGAAATCTTTTAAGGAAAACCCAAACTGTTCAACCAGACAAAATTATCAGCCAATGGATTTCAATTACCCAATAGCAAAAACAATACTTATAGATAACCACATATCAATAAATAAAATGCCTTTAATGCAGTAAACAAACAGTTCCAAATACAGAAATTTTATAGTCACATTATTAAAGAAGACACCAAATTGAACAACAGTACTTTCGGAAAGAAACTTGATGGATGTCAAGTATACTATGCAGCTGAGCAATCACACCAAGTCATAATAGAGTACTTATCAACTGTTGAAACTTTGGTAAAGGAAGGCATATCACCCTGTTTCATAAGAGGAATGATATAGACAAAAAGCAGACTAAAGTGTAATACCTCCATGACTAGACCATATGTCGTGCTCGAGGGAGGCTGGCCTTGTTGCTTTAGCTGCTGCAACACCCAGAATGCACCTTCCCAATTTTTGCGCTTCACACAAGCATTTAGAACCTAGAAATAAGCATACAGTCTCAGATTGTAAAGACCATAGCAGAACGAACTACCATTAACCATGAAGAAAACAGCTTTTAAAGATAATTGTGGCATCGTAGATAAACCAAAGTCCTTCAAGCATTGAGATACTACGAAATTGTAAAGGGAGAAAACAATACAAACTTTTCATACCCTGTCACTATCGTCTAATTTAGTCACATCAACATTTATACTGGGATAAGTTTCAAAAAAAAAATTATAATGGCCTAGCAAAGTATTCTGTTCTTATAATAACCTTATTCCTGCAATCAACATGAAGCACCAAAGCTTAATCTATGAATTGCTCAGTTCATTGCAGAGTTATATTAAATTCAACAACTGGAGATGACAAAGGTAAAGTATTACTGATTTGAAATTTTAGAAGCACATACAAGATAATATTTGTGTTATGGATTTTTCTGTGACAATTGATTCATCCTAGCTTGAGTTATTTTTCTTACAACTTGCATACGATCAGGGGCTAAGTCATAATGAAAAAATCTCAGAAAATGCATGCGCCATAGATGACCAAAAGTGACGGCCAGAAGGAAAAGAGCCCTTCAATTTAGTGCTTCTCAGGATCATCAGAATTCACTTTTTAGCTGTTATTCCTATTTTAATCTGAAGATGAAAAGACCAAACAAGTGTGATGAAAGAACACCTAAGCTGAAACTGCCAACAAAATTGGTCACAGTATAGTTACAAGCAATAGAGTGGTACAAAGTGCTTGATTTATTTTGGGGTTAATTGTACATGGAGTCTCCTGAAGCACAAGATGCCCTCTTCTCTAAAATCTTATGCTTTCAAGAAATATGATAACCTTAACATGGTAGCACAGCAGGCAAGACTCCCAAGTCTCCAATTCTAAGAGTCCCTCCTAACTTATCTTAAAAAGAACAACATAGAAAGGAAAAACATGATGAGTTGTCCTCTGCACAGAAGATAGAGTATGAATGATAACAAATTAAACAACTGGGGGACAAGACGTGACACAAAGAGGAATATACAGATTGAACATCCCTGGATTACAAATCCTTTTAGAAACCATACACTATTTTTGGAATACTCAAACCAAATGTCCAGCACAATCCACTTCCATATTTGGACAGATAGTGGTTCATGATATCAGTTAGCATAATACTCCTGATAGAAATACTAATAGATGCAATATTCAATAACTCTACACTTGGAAACTAAGTAATAACAAAATAAAAAAGAAAAAATATGGGCACTTAATCAAGAGTAATATGGATAGAGGCAAATTTTTATTTTAGCTTGATATAGTGTTGGAAGAGAAACCACCAAAACAAAGCCATTCCAACCATGAATATCAAGCTAACACAACCCCATTCCCCCCACCCCCAAACAACCCATCCGGGAGAGAGAGAGAGAGATGTAGTATAATATAGGCCAAAGATACAGGATTAAGGGTGAAAAGATCAGCTGTTGATTCAATATATCTATCTCATTGGGATAAATACTGTAAAGTATGTTTTCAGCCCAACTGTACTGGATGAGAACTTTACAAAGGATTACTTATAGCAGGAGGAAACCAAATCAGGGATGACATAGGCTATGAAACAAACAGGCTAGTGACAGATTCTTTAAAAAAAAAAGGGACCCTAAAACCAGGAAACAAAATAAGCAACCCTTTTCCAAAACATTCATCGCATTTTCTTGTAAATAAGCAAAAACAATGTAAGCAAAGCTACAATCACCCTAATTTAAGGAGAAAAATCATTTGCAATTGTCCATCCATATCTAGGCATATTATTGTTTCAATTCTTCATGGTAACCAAGAATGACATCTTATGCTGCATTTTTGTGTATCTTTTATTCTGTGAAATAATTGATATACAGACTTATTCTAGAAAGGTTTCTCAAAACTTCCAAGTGAGGTTAATTGTCATGCAAAAAAGCACTCACTGCATTGTAGACAACAACATCTGGCTCCAATCGAGGATCCCATTTTTGAAGAAAACCGGTCTTGAACTTCTTTTTCGGAAGAGACCTCATGCAATCTATTACATGAAAAAGTTCCTTCATGTGTCCTGCTTGTCCAAGAGTGACAGCAATACAACGATAAGCTACAAGATCTGGATATGTGCACATTTGTTGCTGGCAGCAAAAAAAGAGAATAAAGAAAATCAGTAAAAGGTTCATTCTCCATTTCAATCTCAAAATTTCAGGAAAGATCAAGATTATGATGGATGTAACAAACATTTCACACTTCTACCTGCATAGACTGAAACAAGTTGAGTGCCTCCACAGGCCTCCTCGACTTTCCAAGCACATTAAGTGCAGTTGTGTAAATGAATCTGGGAAGAGAAAATAAATCCAATTATACTGATGAATACATCTTTGACAACTATTACATGCATATTACTATATTAAGTACATCTTTAACAGCAGAAAAGTACTCAAAATTTGTTGAATCACAAGCCATGCAATACAGAAGCCGACATTTTTTAACACCTGAATAGAAAACATGGTTGCAGGAAGCACATGTCTCCTCCCATCTGCCTTTTGTCTCTCCTTCTTATTCATTCAAATATCAAACAGAGATTGATATATCTTCTCATATATTTCTTTTATAGCAAGAATAAATGATCTTCTCTCTTTGGCTGGAACCCTCACTAAGCTTATCCTTCGGCTGTTACACAAAGAACACTCAAGCTGCTCCAAGATTTCTGACCTCTACATGGCACCTACTCTCACAATTTCTTACACCATCTCCAATCATTATTCTCCTCACCTCCAAAAACATTTCACATTCTGTGATTTTTTTATTTACTTGTACTCTCTTGGAATTTTTGGTGAACAACTCTACTTCACTTTTTGATGGTATTGAGGGCGTCATGAGTTCTATGCATGGAGCAGCACTTTCAGAAGTCCATTTGAGGTGAAGGGATTCATGTCTAATGCACAAGATTTCACATGTTATTACCGTGCAGAGTTTAGACTTGCTAAGTTTCTTAACTTACTAGTTCTCTTAAGATATGCAACTCTAAACCTACGGTAGCCGGCCCCAGAGAAGCGAGATAAACAGGAAGAAGAGGAGAGATTTTGGATAAGGGACATAACAGGAAGAAGAAGAAGAGCCAGAATGATTACCAGTAGTTAGGATTTCATTACATGTTTTTACTAACTAACGTATAAATGGTTAATGAAAGTTGACTAACATAGTCTATTTGCCATACGGATGAGAAATTGAACTTATAGTAGTTTGGCCAAACCTGGGCAGTTGATTCAGTGTTTATTCAAAACTGAGGAGTAGCAAATGTAATTAGCCAAAATATAAAAGGTCTGAAAGTTAAAAGAAATGAACAGATGATTTCCACTTTCCTTGAGTTGGAAAACTTGGCTTACCCTGTAGGAGAGTAACTAACCAAAGTGTTACATAGAAAACCTAAATAAAACGAGTGAACAAATTGAATTGAGCTTCAAACAACTTACAACATGAGCAATTGAGGAATCATGGAAAAAAAATTGTGGTATCCCCAAGAGCTTTACTCTTTGAAGGTATTAGGAGAGGCCTGTACCTTAGCTTATGCGATTTGAAGCGCTCGCGCAACTGAATCCACTCAATGACTTGAAGCACACGCCTCCAGTTTCCCAGCTTACCCAATATCTGGATGATCCTCAGCACTGAATGATCTGAGAATCTAATCTTGGCACTTCGCATCATTTTAGAAAACATCCACTCAGGCATGTCAATATCTGCACCATTGAGACTGCGGAAGTAAATTACTTCACCATGAATTAAATAAATGAGAAGAAAAGAACCCGCAGTCAGCATTACAGAAGGAAGTTCATAATAAGAGAATCAAGTATAGGTTGATTTAGTTCAAGAGGTTACGTATCAAGAGAGTAAATACTAATGTGAGAGCATGTTGTAAAGCACATGACCAGGTCTATGAGGCTATGAATTGTAAATAAGTTCATGCAACCGAAATGCTGAGGCATTAATAATGCCCAATCTAGAGACACTTCCAAATAGAGCTTGAATTTGACTCTCCAAAATAGAGATCCGAGGTTAATAATGCTTATATCTTTATCCATACTAGATTGGACTCTAGGTTGCAAGCACCATATACGGTCTTTATGAATAAGTTCATTTTGAATAGTCTCAGTTTTGGCTTTCTTTGATAATATTGGACCCAGTTCAATGCACACTATGATTAATTGCCAACAAAAAAAAAAAAAAAAAAAAAGCTGTTGGACCCATGTATGCAGAAATGTCAAGCAGAATTCGTTCTTTCACAGTCAATACAACTAAGAATCTTATATTACAAAAATTCCGATCAAGACGGAGAAAGCTTCCATTAAAACAATAACCTCTTCTCCTTTTTAATGTTTTCCTGCACTAATATCTCTAATGCATGCAACCAACTAAAATCACCAAAATCACAACAACAAGCGCTTGCAGGCTAGATGTTGCCTGTTAAATTTATCATCAAATAACATAATCCCAAATACTATCCCACCTAAAGCCAGGACAATTTCGATTCTTGAAAAAAATTATAAAAGGAGCATATAACATGGGAAAAAAATGGCATTGAACAATGTCTTACCATTTAGCTAGTTCTGAATCCTCTCTTCCATATCCACCCTTGTAATTCTTGGCTTATCATAAACATCATCCAGTTGTTCCAATGGTTTAAATGCAGCCCTATCAATTATATGTAAAGCCTCACTCTCAATGCTGTCATTCTCACCACTAGTAAAAGACTTCTTCATAGGCTTCCTCGTCTTCTTCAACTCAACTTCTTCTTCTTCACTTTAACAGTATTACTAAACCTATCATCTTCCCTTCTTTGCCCATAAACACACTAGAAACTTCCCCTCCAATGCCTTAATTCCCATCTTCTTCATCCCTTTGCTAAACTATTGTCTTTCCTATCAGAATCCTTCAATGTATCATTTTGATTCGCTCTTTTGCCCTTCGAATTCCCATCTTTTCTTGAATTTTGAGGGCCCTGCTTTTCTCTGCTAGCTTTCACCGACTCCATGGCCTTCAAGTACTCATCAAAGGAGGGTTTGAATTGAAACTCTTTCTCATCAACAACATTTTTATTAGCTAATAAAGAACCAGTAATAATTCTCGTGCTTTGCTTCTTTACCTTGTGCAATTGAAATTTCAAGGCAATTCCGAAAAAGGGTCTTTGAGATACGGGAAACCCAGATGGAAAGATTGAATTTTGGATGTAATTTGCGTCAAAAACTAAAGAACTTTCGGTTAAAGGAAGACCCACTTGAGCCATCGGAGTAGAGGTGTAAGCATTCCACTGAAGAAGAGACCAGAGAGTGAGGAAAGCTGTGGGGGATATCTAAACCCGGTAACGCGGAATACGAATAATCCTAGAAGCAAATGGATGACCCTGGCCCAAATCCGTTCTGAGTTATTAGGTTGTTTGCGCCTATGTGGATCTATATGCAGATCCGAGCCCGTTCTCATCTAAAATTGGGACACGAGCCCCGTACCATTTTGGCAAAACTGTTCGGACCGATTTGCAAAACACACAAGACGTAATTTTGCATGCATGCTATGTAATTCACTTTTAACAATGCGTAATTATAAAATAAAATTTTGTAAGCCTTACATATAATATAAAAATGATATACAAAATACAGTCTGAACCTTATATTATTTTTAGTCAGTTTTGATCATGAATCTTCAGGAACGGCTACTTCCTAAAATTTGTAATCTTTTCATAAGAGCTTTTTTGTATAAATTTTCTGATCCATCTTAAAACTATGATGCAATTGATGCCATATATATATGTGTGTATATATATATACATATATATATATATATATATATCCTGGAATTTAACTTGATTAATATTTGAGGCACAGAATATCGAGGTATTAAATTTTAATAAGATGTCAGTTGTAGTCTAACTTAATGTTAAAATTCACCCATTAATGGTGGGTTAAAATATAAAATGAATAAAGTATTAAATTATAGTGTATTGGCTTGCTTACATTTTAGTGCTTAAATTTCGATTCTGGACACTGGACTCCTTAAAGTATGAATTTCATCCCACTTTTGTTCTTAACTTTGAGCCATCACTTACCTACTATTCCTTAGTTTTGACAAATTTGTCTTTGTGGTATAGATTTCAAACTTTAGAGGTAAAGTGTCCAAAATTAAATTTAAGGATTAAAATGGAATAGATTTCATACTTCAAGGAGCAAAGTGTGTATAATCAAAATTTAAAAACTAAAGTGAAAGTGAGTTCATAGTTTGAAATTCCATAGAATTGAACCTTTTTTTTTTTTTTTTGTAAGTGTGAGGTCTTGAACGTAAGACTTTTTATTTACAATTCTTCTCACTTTATCACCTAATCTAACCCTTTTCCAAGATTTAACCTCTTGTATATTATGATTTGAGCCATTTTTAAAACTATTATATAGAGAAAATAAATTGAGAATAAAGAGAGAAAAAGCAAAAAGAACATAAAATAATGACTTTCAAAATTTTGACGGTTGATGGGCCATTAAAATCAAGAAATGGGACTTTTGGGACATGACACCTACCCCCACCTTGCCCTCAAAATGTGTGTTCATCCTCTAAATAATGTGTTGCAATCAAAACACTAAGCTAACATTCTCATTGACAAATTCATAGATCAATTTTCCAAAAAAAAAAAGACTAAAATTGTCACATTAACTTTCTTTTTCCATTTTTCACCTTCACCTTATTAGAAAATTGACTTAATTTCTTTTAGTCAGGTTTCTTAATTTGTGTGAAAGTAATTAATTTCTTAATTGATTTTAATTACTTGAAATAATAATCAAGGAATTTCCTATTTGTATAAGTTTAGGAATAGGAGTTATTTTCTATTCTGAATTAATCTAGAAATTAGCATTGATTTGTTGTTGTTATTTGGGTTTTGGCCAAATAATATTCTCTATAAATAGGTGGATTGACATACTACAAAGAAACACACAAGGGGCTCACAAGAGCGACATGTAACCTTATATATGGGGTGAAAAAGGATTTTTGGGAGATGATAGATAATATATAAGGGTTGGAATTGAGTTCAAATTGTATTCTTATTTAGAGTTTTCTTCTCATAATAAAGAACGAATTTTCTCTCCATGGACGTAGACTCAATGGTGGAATCGAAACACATTAACTATTGTGTCGTTTATCTTTAATGTTTGTAGTTTGTTCGTTATTAAATTGTTGTGTACTTGAGTCTCAATAGTTGTGTGTTTTGCGCTTGGATCCTAACGAATAGTATCAGAGCTTGGTTGTGAGACTGGATTGTTCACAAGCACTTGGATCCCAACAAACTAAATGGTTGGATCAAGAGTTTGGTTGTTTAAAATTAGATTCTGGTTAATTATTGAGATCAAGTGGGTTGGTGACTATTACCAATTGAATAATTTAATGGGTGGTATCCTTGTTTCAAGAATTTGGTAAGAAGCATTGAAGGTGAAGGATGGAAAGTCGAAAAACATGAAAATACTTGACGGTGAATCTAGACAGGTGATTTAAGGTCAAGAAAAATGTGGAGTCTAATGTTGATTTTGGACGTGAATTGATGGAAACTTTTCTCATATCTCTAATGGTTGATACTTCAACCGATAACTTTTAGATTTCGGTTATATTTTTTAGATGGTGTGGCATGTGTCCCAAAGAAACAAAGATATCTAATTTTCATGTGTCAGAAGACTGACAATAACGAGTTTTTCGTTTTAGGTGGAATCTTGGAAATCACACGTGACGAGACAGTCTTGAAGATGTAAAAAAGTATGGTAAATTTACCATTTGATTGTCTCAGTGATTAGGACTAGAGTTCACAAAAGGGGATCTCGAATTATAAATTGTGGCAAGGCAAAGTCTTGCAAAGGGAAATGATGAATTGAGACACTTTCTCGCTAGTCAACTAGAACTTAGACATGGGGTAACTACACATGTTAATTTGGCGATTGAATTAATTTAATATCAGAATTGTATTGATTCGAGTATATAGTTCGGTACCTTATTATTGATAGTTGAAAGCAAATGGTTGTTAAAAAGAAATTTTCGTCAAGGTAGAGATTTGTTAGAAAATTGGTTTAATTTCTTTTAGGCAGGTTTTTTAATTTGTATGGAAGTAACTAGTTTTCTAATTGGTTTTAGTTACTTGAAATAGTAGTCAATGAATTTTCTATTTGTATAAGTTTAGGAATAGGAGTTATTTCCTATTCTAAACTAATCTAGAAATTAGCATTGTTTTCTTGTTCTTATTTGGGTTTTGATCAAATAATGTTCTCTATTTGGGTTAACATACTACAAAGAGATATACAAAAGACACACAAGAGCAACATATAACTTTATACATGGGGTGAGAAAGGGTTCTTGGGAGAAGATAGATGGTAGACAAGGGTTGGAATTGGATTCAAGTTATATTTTTTATAGGGTTTTCCTCTCATAATAAAGAACGGATTTTCTCTCGTGGACGTAGACTCAATGGTGGAGTCGAACCACATTAAATATTGTGTATCATTTATCTTTTATCCTTGTGATTTGTTTGTCATTAAATTATTGTACATTTGATGTCTCAATAGTTGTGTGTTCCGCGTTTGGATCCTAACACAACCCACGAATTCTCCAACCCAAACAATAGCCGCATAAATTGCAAACCAACAACAGTTTTTTAGTTAGTTTTTTTTAAGAGACAGTGAAAGAGCTTCTATTTGTATCACATCATAGTTCAAGAATAGATCTAAAAGTAGTTCATCAAATTGCTACATGCAAATATTCAATTGCCATTTGGATACAAAATCTTTCTTCTCTGGTCACCTAAAAATAAAAGTTGCACCTTCCACAGTACTTTCTTCTCATGGTTGGTTACATGTGTCAGCGCATTCCTATCAATTTGTGCCAATTTGTACTCTATAGTTACTCAAGAGAGCCAACTAAACTAGCTACAACTTCCTCATCTCATCTTTTTTCCAACTACTTTCAATCAAACTCCAATGAAATTTTTCTTGTTTTTCTTCCTATAAATAGGAGCAAGAAACATTGCCCCTCTACCCAAATACAAACAGAAAAGTTTCCTAGAGCAAACACATTATACTTAGCCATGGCTGCTTTTTCAAACAAAATCTTCCTTGTATCCCTGATCATGATGGCATTATCATCAGCTTCAACGATCCAAGTAAGTGAAGCAGCTCGCCACCTTTTGCAAACCTCTCAACCAGCAATTCCAGCAGTTCCTTCAATACCAACATTGCCTTCCATGCCAAACTTGCCAGCTGCAGCATTGCCACCATTACCTACAAATCTTCCATCTTTGCCAAAGCCCGCATTGCCAACATTGCCCACGGTTCCTAACGTGGCCGTCCCTCCCATTCCAGCTGCAGCTTCATTGCCAAGCATCCCATTTACGATTCCTTCAATCCCATCTAATATCCCAACCTCAATTCCTTCAATTCCTTTCTTCTCACCACCACCATCTAACTAGAACTTGAGACGTTGAGGGGCTGGCTATACTGCCTTATACATGCATGCATGTTTCATTTCTTCCTATGGATTCCGATTTTTTTCATTTTGGATTATTGTACTTCCATTTAATACATGTGTTTGATGAATTAGTCTAGATCATGATTCTACTCTATATCCAGGGGATTTCAAGGCAGTGATTATTGTACTTCTTTTTTAGCTTTTTACACTGCATTGTAATATGTTTATGGTATTAGTGATGATCACATATATTTGTTTCTTTATCTAATTTTTTCTTGATTCTCTCCATTTTTTAATTACATGGGCAATTATCCACTTGTGTTCATTCTAGTAGGTCGTAATTGTACCGACAACTTTTGACTACGGATAGAATTGATAACAGTA